CCTGGTATCGGTGTATATCCTAGGATTCGCATTCGGCCCTCTCTTCATCGCGCCGATGAGTGAGATATTCGGCCGTCGGCCCCTGTATATCTACGGCAACATTCTTTTCGTCTTGTTCTCCGTCGGCGCTGCTCTTAGCACCGGAACCGGAATGCTGATGGCGTTCCGTTTGTTGATGGGTCTCGCTGGTTCCGTGCCTATTACTATTGGAAGTGGTAGTATTGCAGATGTCATGCCGGTTGAGAAGCGAGGACGAGCTATGTCTGCTTGGGCTTTGGGTCCGCTACTAGGTCCTTGCGTTGGCCCCATTGCTGGTGGTTATTTGATTGAAGCTGCTGGATGGAGATGGGTTTATTGGTTAATCGTCATTCTGGTAAGTTTCTTTACACTAAGCAGTTCATATTCTATGGCATAGCAACTAACGTGAACATAGGGCGGTGTCTTCATTCCTCTTTCCGTCTTTTTCCTCCGGGAAACTTTCGGTCCCGTATTAATCGCACAGAAGACTGCCAGACTTCGCAAAGAAACTGGTAACCAAAACCTCCGCAGCAAATTCGCTGGACGCCTTAGCCCTAAGGACCAGTTCAAGCTCGCCATCCTCCGACCCATGAAGCTCCTCCTCTTAACACCAATCGTCACTCTCATGTCTCTCTACGTCGCCATCACCTACGGTATCCTCTACCTTCTCATCACGACCTTTTCCTTCGTCTACACCGAGAACTACGGCTTCAGCGAGGGAGACAGCGGTCTGACTTTCTTACCCGCTGGAATTGGTATGATGATCGGTGTTGTGGGTTTCGGACAGCTCACCGATATGATGGTCCAACGGAACAACCGAAAGGGACTCGTTCACAAGCCGGAAGTCCGTATCGCGCCGGTTCTTACTATTCCTTGCGGAATCGCACTGCCTATCGGCTTGTTTATCTACGGATGGACTGCCAACTTCGGCGTGCACTGGATCGTTCCCATGCTCGGTGTTCTAATCTTCGCTGCGGGACTTATGGGTGTTATGGTGAGTTCTAGCTACTACACTTCTATCCACCATAATCATATGCTAACATTCCTATCAGTTCTGCATCCAAAACTACCTTCTCGATACATACCCCCGCTACGCGGCCTCCGTCACCGCCGCGATGGCAGTTCTCCGATCCCTTCTCGGCGCCCTCCTCCCTCTCGGAGGTCTCGAGATGTACAACGCACTAGGCCTCGGCTGGGGCAACAGTCTTCTCGCGTTCGTCTCGCTCGCGCTCATCCCGCTACCGGTCGTATTTTTCATATTCGGCGAGCGTATTCGCGGGAAGTTTAATCCCAGCTTATAAAAGTTCTTTATATTTATATCCGTTTATTTAATGAATTGTAAATAGAAACGATAGACTATCTAGATACCACGTAATGATCATGCATAATAGATTGTATATAGCATCGAGACGACAAAATTCCCGTCTTATTGGAATCACGAAATTCTTGGTTGAACTATGATTATAATACCCCACGACGTTGGTCGCTACCGAGTAAAGGCAAACAATTCGAGTGAGTGAACGTACATTTCTATTGCCGCCTTTGATACCGAATGAAAGTTTACCCTTACCAGAGATGTGCTTGGCCCTTAAAATACGTATTCATTTACGCTACCACGTATTCCTCCTAGCCGCGACACCCACAGGATGGTATTTCGCAATGAAACCGGCAAGTTCTACGCCTTCGGGGGTTCCCGGAGACTCGGGTACGGGCTTGGCCGGAGCGGGGCCGGGTGGCAAGTGGCCTAGGATTTCCTCAGATGTTATTGCCCTTCGGATGATTCTTTTAGACGGTTCTTGCAAAGCATAACTGTGGTTGGAATGTATTTGCCGAATTCAATTGTTCGCATAATAGGCCATAGCGTGTAGGGGCTGAAAATAAGTATAGGAGAAAACTACTTCAGCTAGAAAGCATCGGAAGTTCTTGGAGAACCACTACGTCATCGGCATAAGAGACGTTTGCTCTACGCTACTCGATTACCCCGGCTATGATGTAAATTATTTACTAAATACCCAAGTGACGCCACTGATTGTTTTCCATTCGGATATCAGTCTTTCTATGTACACACTTTCCACTCAGGACCTTCTCAGAGACGATAATGTCGATAAGCGATGACGACGACGAGTCCGAATACTCGCGCAGAGGTCCTCCGCGGGGATCCATGCCGGACGCGGATTCCCCAGCGACGGCGCCCGACTCGGATTCGTCGTGCGAATGTCCCGTAGACGAAAAGTATCACGACGGCCATCGACCGTGTACCCTCGACACGCGCCCGTCGCAGATACGCGCAAGTGGTCGGGACGGCTCGGACGGGCTACCAGGGCCCATCTCGCGGACGGTATCGCGTAGAGATACCGTCCTATCACGCATACGGTCCCGTCCGGAAATCCCGCCGTTCAGCCATCCACTTGCGAAAGTAAAGACCGGTCGAGAATCCCTCGTCGACTTCGACGGGCCAAACGACCCGTACCGCCCCGTAAACTGGCCTCTGCACAAGAAAGTCGCCACGACTCTCCTTTACGGCCTTGTTACCATGACCGCAACTTGGGCGTCCTCGTCTTATTCCGCCGGCACCATGCAGATCGCGGCGGAGTTCGGTGTCGGGAGGCAGACGGCGACGCTGGGAACGACGCTGTTCCTCCTGGGCTTCGGAATAGGACCCCTGATGTGGGCGCCGTTGTCGGAAGTTTACGGCCGGCGCGTAGCGGTGTTGACGCCGATGTTTATCTCCATCTGCTTCTCGTTTGGCTCGGCTACCTCCAAGGACTTCCAGACTCTGATGCTAACACGATTTTGGGGTGCCGTATTCGCCTCTGCGCCGGTGACGAATACCGGCGGTGTCCTGGGGGATTTGTTCACGCCGGCGTATCGTGGCATCGCTATGGCGGGGTACGCGATGGCGGTTGTCGGTGGTCCGACGGTTGGTCCCATCGTATCAGCCGCTGTCGTAGCGCAGCCGAGTCTTGGCTGGCGATGGACAGAGTACACGACGGGGATGCTCCAGTCTGTCGTCCTGGTATTCGCTGTTATCTTTATCGACGAGTCGTATCCCCCGAGACTTCTCGTTGCGAAAGCAAGGCGACTACGACTTGAGACAGGTAATTGGGCGCTTCACGCCAAATTCGAAGAATGGGATGTGAACATCGTCGAACTCGCGAGGAAGTTCCTCATCCGTCCACTCCAACTGCTTTGTACACCGATCTGCTTTTTGATTGCTTTATATGCAAGTTTTTGCTACGGGATTCTCTACATGCAGCTCGGTGCAGTGCCCATTATATTCGGAGAGCTCAGAGGCTGGACGCTAGTTTCGAGCGAACTCCCGTTCCTAGCCATCTGCCTTGGCTCGCTGACCGGTGCAGCTATCAACATGTCTAATCAACTATATTACAACAAGGCTTATCACGCTTCGGGAGACAGGCCAGTTCCAGAGAAAAGACTGCCTCCGATGATGTTAGGTTCTGTACTTTTTGCGGCTGGCCAATTCATCACCGGATGGACTGCAGACCCAGCTGTTGCTCCTTGGATCGCTCCCGTCATCGGGCTTTACCTTGCTGGGTGCGGCTTTAATACGATCTTCCAAGCTGCTCTCAACTATCTTGTTGATACTTTCCAGATGTATGCAGCAAGTGCTGTAGCTGCTAATACGTTCTTGCGGAGCTGCTTTGCCGCCGCATTTCCGCTGGTTGTCACGCCGTTATATCACAACATCGGGGTTGGCCCGGGGTCGAGCATATTTGCTGGATTTGCATGCCTGCTGATTCCTGTGCCCTTCATATTCTACTTCTTTGGTAAACGGATCAGGGCAGCTAATAAATGGAGCAAGCATAGCGTGTTCTAGAAATTTGGAAAGTTTTGCATAGCACTGGCGTTTAGGATGATCTCTAAACATCGGGGAAAAGGGGTTGATTCAGCGAGGTTAGATTATTCCCATCGAATAATCGGCATTGAGAGAAAAGCATGCGTTGGGAACTATAGACTTACTCCTTCAGCTATTATACGGCTGATGATACATCTCAAGTTCACTCCAAGAATCCGAGGATGTCTTCAAGGGAAAGACCTAATTTCCTCAAGAATAAAAAAGTTGCATAATCGATATAAAATATTAGGTGAGACCAGCAACCGCTAGCTACCTAACGGGCCTTGGGACGAAGGAGAATGCGGTACTGACTAGACACATCCCGATATTCTAAGCCTTTGGAGACGGGTGAGAATCTTGGATAAGCATAGGTTTGAGAGGTGCTTATTGATGACGCCAAGCTACGTTTTAGAAGATGTCGAAGCATTAAACCTACCCTACCTGTCGTTAGCCGACGGGACCGTGTCGGATCATCGACTTGAAACCAGAAGCCTAGCGGGGAATCTATGAGGCATAACAGTGATGTCGTCCCACCACGAAGAAACTCCGGCGTGTCGCTAGTGTAACAAGTAGGCTGAAGTCGACGCCCTATCGCAAGCATCCACCCAAAGGTTTTTTTTTTTTTTTTTAGTGGTGGGATGGTTGGGGATCTTTCGCTGCTGCTTATGCCTCTAGACGATCAGAATACGGGTGTGTAAGAGAGGCAACATTGCGGTTTGTATCAACGGTTATGGTGTACATCGTGAAACGGAAGGCAAGAGAAAATTCGCGACTACACAAGAGTATCTTATAAGTAGGATCCCGATGGCTTCGGTGAAGAAAGTGCAACGTGCCTACAAATAAGAAGTTGTTATAATAGCAATTGCTCACTCGATGCGGGGACTGATGGAAAGAGACACTTGCAAGAACACAAAGGCCTCGAGGATATATCTAGTTAAGTGGAATAATATTAGTAGAACGATGAGAATATTTTAAAAATAGAAAAAGAAAAGAAAAGAACGACAATAATAACAAAAAAGGACAAAAAATAGAGGTTGCTAATCCCAGTGAACTGGGAAGCATCAGGAATTGAGCCCGATGCGGGGGTCGAACCTTGAAGGTGATGTTAGCACACGATGTTGCGGAACCTCGAATTGGAGGAATAAGAACTTACCCGCAACCTTGAGATTAAGAGTCTCACGCTCTACCGATTGAGCTAACCGGGCAGGCTATTGGTGAAATCTTGGTTGGTTTTTGGAGTATATAGCTGTATGCGCGAATGTTTGTGGTGTGCGTAGACCCTTGCCCTATGGTGTGTCACCCCGCGGGGACCAATGCGGTCCAAAAATTTTTTTTTCTGGGACTACGAAGTACCAAGTACACTTATAAGTCACGTTTGTCTAATAAATATTATATCTCAATATTGTTCTCCGTTTTCCATTCATGTAAGTACTTGTCAGGATTCCAATCATCCGACCTTTTACCGAGGCTTTGCCTTTAAGGTCAGGGATTTTTAAAATAAAACGGATTTTTAAAACGAAATTTTTTGGTATATTTAAATTTAATATGTAATTCCCGCTAAAATTTAGGTATTATTAGAAATATGAAATATTTTATTAGTTGTAAATCTATATTAAAAGTATTTAAATAAGCAAAGCAGGTTAGTTTTTTTTTTTTTTAAATAGGAGTAGGTATTTAAATGCATAAATAATATTAATATTAATGATAGAAATCTTTAAAAATAAAAGGAGAGTAAGTGTTTTAATTTAGATTTTTTATTATATGGTATTTAAAATGTGTAAGTAAAACATTTGTATTCAAATAATATGAAGGGTTTTTATATAATATGGTATTGGGGGAATAAAAAATATATATATAAATAAATTAATTCGTTTTAATTGAAATATAAAATTTTATATAAAAAATATTAATAAAATTAAATATAAGAATTTTGTTTTAAAAATCCATTTCATTTTAAAAATCCCTAATCTTAAAGATGAAGCCTCAATAAAAAATCGGATAATTAGAATCCTAACGAGTAATTCCATATTTATATCTCCAAGGACTCCTGTTTTTTTCTTTCTTCTTGGGCGAGTCTAGTTGAATCCTCAAGACTCATCCGAACTACATCTTTGGTCTAGTAGGATAATTTGATATTTGAGCGTGAGGATGTCTCTGTTTTAGAGTATTCTATATAATTCATTTTTTTTTCTTTTACCATTATTAACATATAAGACCATACTAAGAGGCAATCATGCAAATACTGGATGTAATATACTATTGACCATAACGGTAAGCTTTGTCCTTCGATCTGTCTAACAAGATACCATACGGTATCTTGATATAAATGTGACCAAGGTAATAGCAGTAAAACCCCAAGAATAATGTCAAATTAGAGACCCAGTATTGCCTCATAAATATTTTCTTCATAATCCGTTTTGATCTGCTGTTTAACATTTCACCGGGTCTTCACTGGGTAAGCTCTTGATATTCCGTTGAGGTGTTTGAGCGGAAAGTATGTCAGTATCGTATACCGTGTTAGTGACCTCTGCAAGACGTAATGATTTGGGCCTTGGTGATCTGTTTTACTACCTATTGTATGTGTTCCTTGTAATATATTTCTGTCTCTTCTTACAGTCGTCTTTCTTCCATACGATTTGTGTAATGGGGAATTTTGATCGACGGGCTGTCTCTTTAATCAATTTGACCCGGGATGATTCTTGATTATATTATGTCGGGCCAACAATAAGGCCATCTAGCCACCTACCATTATCGTTTAGGTGTCTTAGGAAGGATCTGAGAGGTTTAATTAATTTAGAAAGCCTTCGTGTATCTCAAAAGAGCAACGTCTCCGGCAAGCCACTTCTATGCGTGATGAACTGACATCAGCATACTCCAATGGTAAGTTATCGAGAGAATAACATAATCATCGTCTGCTAAATATAGTAGAAAGCCTAGACCTTTAGAACTTCATATCATTTTCTTGACTCTAGAATTCGCTCGAGGACTTCCCAGCGTGACCTGAAACTAGTTTATAGCTAACTACCTAGGCATTCTCTGCGTCCAGGTATTCGGATATTTAAGGTCATCTGCCTACCGATCCTAATAAATATATAGTGGCTCCGGTACATATGAGGTTAAATCACCATCCAGAAGAAAAGAACGGCTCTATAAGTTCTTACGAGTAGGAATATTTTATATTGGATGAACTTGGAGCAGCTTCCAAAGCTGACAATTTAGGATCAATTCTGTAACTCGACCTTCTGTACGTACCCGCATGGAATGACCAATTGGAGTTGCTGATCGAATTTAAACTTCGGTACGTACTCCGCCATGCTTTTTACTGACTTACCACGTATCATTTCACAGGCTATTTTTATCCAGTCGGAATTTACCATTTACCATGTGGTTTGGTTATGTCATTTAATCATTACGCCCAATCGTTTCATTCGCCATCCTTTTTACGGCGTTTTTGGCGGTGCGTATTCTCTGCGGTCTCAAGGTGCATCTACAAGAAAATCTCCATAGTGTCGTGGCCATGCAGCCATGCCGCGAGTCCCCTTTCTCAACCTATCAATTGACCGATTACACACTAGCTTCTGAGAGTAGCATTCCCTGGTCGCTCTAGAGATGCTGCCAAAGTAAGGAAGTTAAGCAGTCGTGAGTCTAGCCTCGGCCGCTTCCCTTACTGGGAATAGGTACTGTCCCACTGATGCGCACTAGGATTGAGAGTGCTGACAGTTAAAGCGACCGTGTGGGAAAAGGGCCCTGGTCTGCCGGCTAACCCTCAAATCACCGTCAGCTTTGAACTCCACCGAATCGTGCGACTGCGAATGCTGCGCCTAGTGTACAAGTGTTCATGATTTTACTTGTTCGTCAGCCCAATCCCTAGAAACTGGAATATTGGAATATTGGAATATTGGGAGTCATTCCGTAAATTCCACAATTGGCACTTACATCATCGTACATGCCACGCGCCTAATATACTTAGACACGTAGCACAGCGCGCCGTTGAATATCGAGGCTCAGCTAATCAAATAATTCAAATTACTACCTAAATTGCCTTTTGGGTAAGGGACTGGGGTTAGGGTCAAGTTTGCACTTGGACTTGTCAAGTCTGGGGTTCCTTGCCTTATACAGTATTGTAGGAAGTCACTTTATTATGACCTCCTGGTTTTAAGCGGCTTTAATTTTTTTCTTCACGACTGTCATCAGAGGGTATTGGATGATACTGACGCCGCGCTTTACCGCGCGCTATGCTAGTTTGCAGCACGACTGCGAAATCAAAAATTCGATGACGGGTAGCAGCAAGTGGCCTTGGATTATGAAATTTCCCGTTAGCCGCGCCACGAATATTCAATCAGATGGTTAAGATCGATCTTTTCCTTTATCTGCCAATTCTTAATAGGGGATAGTCGGATTAAGATTACTTACCACACACGTACCTCGAAGCGAACCCATCTCCATACCCATACATACACCCTCCATCTCCCCCACAGCTAGCCCAAAGGTAGAGATTTGATGATCATTTACCAAATATGTAGGGTATGTAAGTGCCGTCGTATGCAGGTTGGTACCTGCAGTATGCAGGAGAAATGCACAACAGGATCTAGTGTAAGTGCTTGGCCGACAATACAACATCAAAAATGATTTATCTTGTTCGTCATCCGGTTATCTGCGTAATTGTTTACAAAATATTTTCATTGCTTTACTCTTCCCCGACTTAGGCCAGCCTTGTTTGGAAGGGATATCGTTAGGTTGCAGGGAGTTAAAATTACAAATGGACGAGAACAGACGCGACATGGGTTTTTACGGGTCGGAATGCTAATGAGAATTTGATAGGTCTGATACATAAGGTTAACAGGGGTCGATGATAATAATCAGCCACTAATATCAACTTTTAAAAGCCACCGAACCAAAAAAAAAAAGAAGAAAAAAAAAAGTTACGCGCTACACACAATAACGTCCTATCCATCTTTTCGCATCTTTTCACATCTTTCTTTACCTGTTTTCAAGCGCCTGCCTCATTCTGCAAGAACCACATGCCCAAGTATCAATGTTACCCATGCTCAAAATAATACACCCCTGAACATTTTGGATGGTCTAATAATGGATAAACGACCGATTGCGACGCTACCCGGCTTGTAATCCACCATAGTTCATACAACCATACCCCTTTCGACCATTTTCTCCCCATACAATCACTCCCAATCCATACAGCCCATGTTCTTCCCCCCCATGCTAGACGAGCTCCTGGTCTCTTTTCGTTCTTTCTCTATTGTGAGCCCTCTCTCTTTCTGGATGTCGACTATTTGCTATTTGCTGGGTTCATTCATGTTGCCTTCCTCTTATTGTATCAGTGAAACATTACCAGCTACCTTCTGGCAGACCTGGCAGGCCGATTCGATAATCTCTTGGCCCAGACTGTAACTCTCCACTCATTCCTCCTAGCCATGAATGACAGGACAAGGGAGTAAGATATTCCTGATAGTATATCGACCACCATGTCTGTCCCTCAGTCTTTACCGAACCAGATCCTCCAAAATCATCCGCATCGGCCTTCCTTAACCGCCTACTCTGAGACTTCCCGTGCCTCATCAGATCTGTCTATACTTCAGCAGCCCTTTTCCTCCCTCCCACCAGACCAATCGCAACCCCTTGATTCAACTCAAACCCTGCCGGGTTCGAGAAACACAAAGAATCTCGTCATCGATAGTTCTGCCGATCTACCGCCTGTCCGGTCCGTACGACGTAAGCCGCTGTCCTCGACCGCGTCTTCAATCGCTACTAGGTATTCTTCTGGAGAATATCTTGCTATTGCAAAAGGTCTACCCGGGCCTGACCAACGGTTTTCTCGCTCCTTTTCAGTGGATAGCCCTACCGTTTACGAGTTTCCTCGCCCTCCGGTTGGTCCCCTGAATAAGTCTGGATTGGAATCGCCCCACGATTTCATATTGATCCAGAGTAACGTAGAGTAAGTCGGAGTGTTATTGTTTTGTTTTTTTTATTAATCTGCAATCCAACGCCGATTGGCTATCTCGGTTGACATATCGTTAATTAATACTCGAATTTATCCAGAAAACCTCCCGAGGCTCGTCACCCATTAGCATCTGTTGACTCCAGCCCGGCTTTCACAGCGGGTGAAGTCGAACGCCCAAGTTCTCAGGGTAGTTCCCAAGGTAGCAACCCTGACGCTTCTCAAACACACCACATCACCGACCTGTC